CCTTGAGAGGCCCAGCCAGAGCCCAGATCTAAATCCTATTGAACATCTAAAGAGATCTGAAAATGGCTGTACACCATCGCCTCCCATCTAACCTGACAGATCTTGAGAGGTACTCTCAAGAGGAATGGGCACAAATTCCCAAAGACAGGTGTGCCAAGCTTTTGGCATCGTATTCAAAATGACTTGAGGATGTAATCGCTGCCAAAGGTGCATCAACAAAGTATTGAGCAAAGACTGTGAATACTGATGTACATGGGATTTTTCAGCTTTTGTATTTTTAATAAATTTGCAACAATTTAAAAAAAAATCTTTTTTCACATTGTCATTATGGGGTATTGTGAGTAGAATGTTGAGGAAATAAATGAATCCATTTTGAAATAAGACTGTAACATAAAAAAATGCTATCAATACTTTCCGGATACACTGTATAAAGCACCTATTTTATTCCACATCCCTAATCTTAAGCCACAATGAACTAAACTAAACTGAACTTCAACTCTGAAATCTGGACTTTACTAGAACTTCTACGTTAAGCTGCTTTGACAATCTAAATTATATAAGTGTCTTACAACTAAACATGAATTTAATTGAATTAATCAAATATCAATTACCTAAAAACTACCTTAAAAACAATTAATAAGCAGCAAAATATTGATTTTGTTTATTATTAGTTTGTGAAAAGCAACAATTGTATCTCGAAATAAAGTGTAACCGAAAGTTTTGTTTATATTATAATAAACCCTGCGTCTCGTATATTCTTGTTTTGCAAAGCTGGATATATTACCATCATTCGAGCAGTCTTCAAAAGTCATCTTCATCAATCAACCTAATATTATGATTAGATGACCAAGAATCATTTCTGATCATTTCTTATTAATAGTAATACCAATCACAAAATATAAAACTAATTGTTATTTATTTTACTCTTAATATTAGATGCATCTTAGGTTAGGTCAAAAAATATATATACAGCCCAATGACAACTTAAAACCTGGCCAAAAATTATGAAAATTAGTCCATTTTTTTCCCTTGTCCAATAAGAATTGCTGGATTCCCACAAAGGGAAAGGGTTACCATATGATTTCTGATATGTTGTAATACAAAAACAAATTATTTTATCGCTTATTATCATACCATCAGAATCTCATGCCTACACTGTAAAAACCAAAAAGTTAAGGTAACTCAAATCATTTGAGGAAACTGATTGCTACAAACCATTTAAGTTCAAAATCTAATGAAACTTTGAACTTAATCCATTTGAGTAAAAGAAGCGGTTTGAGCACAGTAAAACCCAATAAGTTAAGGCAACTCAAACCGATTGAGGAAACCGATTGCTACAAACCACTTGAGATAAAAAACGAATCTATAAGTACTGTAAACTTGCTCCATTTAAGTCAAAGTAATGAGGTGTTTCATTAACTCATTACCTGCAACACAGAGTTCAAAACTCTTTTCAAATGAGTAGAATTACCTTTCAGTAAATTCTGAGTTAACTACACTCATTTCATTTGATCAAGTTGACTGTTGGGTTTTACAGTGTAGAATCACGGCTTCACTGTACAAGCCTGAATTGAGCATCACAGCCCAAAGCAAAGCTCCCTATCACAGACGGGACAGTCTGGCAGGAAGCCACTCAAATCCAATTAGCAACTTCAAATTAATAGGGGCCTCCTAATGCTTTGTCAGCCACATTAAGCAAACAGCTGATTAGAGATCAGCCCAAATGCACAGAACGACAACAATCTAATTGAGAGCTCACAAAACCAAGACGAGAGCTTCCTGAAGAGAGCCTGTGGAGAAAAACACTCCAAAAAAGAGTGTTTGAGACTTCTGTGAATGGACAGACATTTAAACCTCATTAGTTGAAGGGCTAAAGCATTCAGATCACTCTTATCAGAACAGCCTTAGTGATTAGTGCAATCAGAAAAACTCCTAGACACATGTGAAGAATGAAGAGAGCAATTCCAGCGTTATGGATGTGACATTTACAGTAAAAACTAAAAACATAAATCCACAAAGAGAGTAGATGTTAACATTATATTGAAACATCTGTTCACATTTTCTAAAACAACTCACCCCAGAGTTATGGGATCAGAAACACACATAATTAGAATTTTATATGATTTCTATGATATTTTATATCCATATGTAACAATTACCAGCGATCGTACTCCATAAGATCGCTGGATTGCATTCACAATAACTATGGACTACAAATCCGCCATTTCTGGACTACATTTTCATACATGCACTCCGGTCACACTCACACATGCTTCCTCATCTAGACTAATTACTCGCACGAGCTAAAGATTGCACACACTATTTAAGCAGCACACTCACACATTCACTTTGCCGAGTCTTGTTTATCTGTAGATGACATTACAACGCGTTATTCCTTGTCTTGTTTCCCCGTGTTTTGACCTAGCCTTGTATTCCTGTTCTCCCTGCCTGCTAGTGGTGGGCAAAGCGAGGCTTCGTGAAACACTGAAACAGTCGAAGCAAATGTGTCGAAGCTTCGAAACGTTTCGAAACCCCACTCTATGGTGACACCTAGTGGTCATTTCATTTGTATTGCACTGAAACAGCTTCAGCACAGAACAGTTGAGCAAATTGAGGTATGAAACTCCACTTTGTAGCCTTGAACCTACAAGTGGTTTAGTCGAGGGGTTAGAGTTTGTGACCTCCATGTGGGGATAGTGGGTTCGAATCCAGGCTGTTACAATTATTTTTGAAATGTTTTAATACCAGTTGGTAATGCTTTGTTCTTGTATCGTTTTGTTTCAACATTGCTCTGACATCCGAGTAAACACCTTGTAAATAAATTTGTATTGTTTTAGTCATAAAACAGGGTTGTTGCTAGATCAGATAAAGTTGTGGCCAGAAGTTAACAATAAGTATTCATATTATTGATTAAATTTCCCATTGTATTTTATTAACGTCTATCCAAAACCTAAACCCATCACAGTACTGTAAAAATATTAATTATTGTTTTACAGTGTTACAAAAATAATGCTAAATTGATGGCGTATCCGCAGATGTATCCTATCTAGACTACACCATAAAACAGAAACATGATTAAAATACATAAAATCATGATTTTGCAGTATTTGTTCTAGTCGGGATTCGAACCCAAAATTTATTTGAAGCACAGCTACAACGTGCACACGCACAGTCCACTAGGCCACACGAGTTAGAAACTTGAAATTGACCATGTTAGTCAAATGCATATTCTCCAGGTCTCGAAGCGCTTCTGAAATTATCAATGCTTTGAATCGCTTTAGTCATGTGACCAGGTGTTTCGAAACACTTTAGTCATGTGACCTGGGTGTTTCGAATCATGCTTCGGTGCAGTGTTTCGAAACACTTGCGCTTCGGGATCTCGACACTGTGTTGAAACGTCAGTTTCAGGTTAGCCATCCCTACTGCCTGCCGCCTGCCTTTTGACCTCTCGCCTGTTACCGATTACGATTCTGGACTGCCTATAGACCTTTTTCTTGGAACGCAAAATTACCCATTATGCTTTGCGTGTATGTGCAAGGAGAATGCGAAGAACTTCCGGTCAGCAGCTGATGCGTGTAAACAGTCACATTTGGACAGCTTTGAAACGATAGTTTTAATCTATTTTACCTGCTTTTATCCTCTTTGAACTAATACTGTTGTCCATCAGCACCATCTCCTGGACTGATCATTTAAAGAAATGCGATCTAATAGGATGGAAAACAGCTGCTGAGGCATTTTCCCCTCGTTGTCAGACGGCATCTTCTGCAGTTTAAATGAAGCCTCGTCATCGCTAAAGTCAACATTTTCTCTTTATTTCAAATATATAACCAGCCCAAACACATGCAATTCACCAAAATGTTTGACACACACACGTAGCCAGTACTGTGCCACTGACACACTGATTTAATAACTGTGACAAAGTGAAAATATGGGCTAGTGTCATTTCGAAATGACCGAAAAACACAAACCGTGGTGAATACAACACACAAAATAAAACACAAACGACTCGCGATTAGAATGAACAGCAAATCAGCAGCAGAGTATCAATAACAGACTTTTATTGGTCATTTGTGTTAATTGCACGACTTTCATACCTGTTAAGTTTCATGCTAGTACTCTGGTTTGCTCTCTCTCTCTCTCTCTCTCTCTCTCTGTGTGTGTGTGTGTGTGTGTGTGTGTGTGTGTGTGTGTGTGTGTGTGTGTTAAAGAGCCGCTGAGCTAACAGCTGAAAGGCCGGGAACGCGCACACATTTCTGACAGCAGACACGTGTACTAGGAGAACGTTTTTCTCGTATTTCTGACGCGCTTGAACCACATGTGACAGATTATAATGGCTTTAACAGACACATCTCTAAGTTGTGTGTCGCAAAAACGCTCTGTTATCCATTAAAAATGTTATTGAAACCCATTTTCGGAGCGCAAATTACCAGTTGTACACGCTGTAAACGGAAGTTTTTTGCATTCTACCGGAAGACGCTGGTCGCTATGGCGCCCTCCATGCAGCAGCCATGAAAAAGGTCTATATATATATATATATATATATATATATATCTATATCTGTTTGCACCTGTGTTGACCTTTGCAAGACTGACGTCGAATAAACCTGCACGTGGATCCAAACTCCGTTGTCTGTGTCACTCCTCGTGTTACACCATAAACATGCGTTATGGATGTGACCTAAAAAGTCTGTGAGTTTACAGCATACAACATACTTTGTAGAAATTCTGTGAATTAAACTGCACAACACAAAAGAAAAATCATAATTAAAAGTATAAGAGTCGTCTCTATATAGAACAAACATTATTGATTTTAATTTATTTGATATTTTTGCATTTATGAAGAAAAAGCTTGGCAACACAACTCAAACCACCTAAACTTGTTAACTTAATCAAATTGTGTTGGGACAACAAATGAATTGAGTCAATTTTAAATGCATTCATTATTCTTCACAGTGCACCAGCAGGACTAAATGAGGTGATGAAATCAAGTTGTTTTCTTACATTCGAACAAAGAGCGACTGTTTGGGTCCGAGTCCAGGAGACGAGTACTTCTCCACCAGCGCCAGCGTGCTGAAGCCAAACTTGTGTATGGGCTCATTGGAGTCGAGCGGAGGAAAATCTGTGTCCACTTCCCCGTCATCCTCAGCGATGTGAAGACAGTAGGTGTTGACATTTTCACTGCGGAAACAAAAACACACAAAACAATAGAGATTAAGGGCTCTATTTTGACGGTCCATGCGCAAAGCGCAAAACGCAGGGCGCAAATGCTTTCAGGGCGTGTCAGGATGCGTTTTTGTCCTCTTCGGCGCATGGTCTAAAAGGGTTGAGTTTATTTTCTTAATGAGTTATAGGTGTGTTTTGAGAATAAACCAATTAGAGTCTCATCTCCCATTCCCTTTAAGAGTCAGCTGCGTCGCGCCAAGAGCGCATTCGCTATTTACAGGACGCAAAGTAAGTCTAAGTGGAAAAAAATTGCATTTTACAAGCAAACAGTTCACAGTTTATTAACAGAAAACTGTTAAACAGGGCATCTACTGCGTGAGAATGAGAGATAATGGATCTACTTTCACATTCGCTCTTGGATAGGGAAACCTTTAGCACAGACATCAATTAGTCTATAAATAAATACTTTTGTTTGTTAAGCGCAAATATTCGTTTCAAAACTATTTCTAAATTCAGTTCTAATTTCCAGCAAACGAATAAATGAATAATAATAACAAAATGTGCTCAAAAACCTGAGTTATATCCTAAAACACATGCTGTGCCCCATATGGTCTAAAACCTGACAGGTGGGCAAATCTAAGCTTGTTTTTAATAAAACAAATATAAATATGCATATAATAAATAATACTGCTAACAATAACATTATACAAAAGCAAATTGTTATGAATGAACTGAAAAAGCCTCCTGAGATGAAGAAGACATAAAAGCAGTGATTTTTCATATTTATGTAGGATAGAAAATAATGTTTTGTAATATTTTAATCCTTTATATTTATATCCTATATCTATTCTTATTATATCCTATATATATCCTTAATATTTAAATTTATTCATATGTAAAGATATTTGTCTTTTGCTATCTTGTGCGTATTAAGCAGTGTGTAAGCGAGGCGCAACTCTGCGCTGGAGTTTAGACTGGGTTAGTTTTGGTCTAATGAAAAATCTATTTTAGTTTCTCAAAATAGCAACGCACCAGTGGTCCGCCTCAGAACGCCTTCCTTTTTAGACCAGAACGCCTATGGGCGCACATATGAGCGCTAATGCATTTGCTATTTAAACAGCGTAGCGCAACGCCTCAAAACGACTCTAGCGCCAAGCTTAAACTACCAAAAGACTACTGTGTCACGCCTTGCGCCACACTGCGCCGGGTCTATGATAGGGCCCTAAAAGTCCAGTCGTAGTCCAAATATTTGACTAAAGGTATTTAAATGACTAATAAAGTTGACAAAGTTTTACCAAAGAACATTGCTTTTTTTAACTCTAGTCATGTTCTCCATATTCTGGCTATTATGTGAAATGTCAATATCTCCGCGCACCAAATATGGTGTTAAAACACAACATTGTATAAAACCAATCAAAAAGCTTGGAAATGAACACAGACAGTGACAAACGCTGATCATTTGTCAAAGGGAAGCTCCGTTTCAAACTGACAGGCACGCGATAGGTCCAGCCCTCCTCTTGTCAGACACAGCAGCGCTCTGTAAACCAGCTAGCAGATCGCTTCAGAAAGATTGAATATCGTTTAGGGTGTTGTAGTGTGGATGAGAATCACAATGATGATCAAAATGTTGAACAGCCTGTGATGTTGAGGAAGTTAAGTTTATGCACTTCTGCACTTCTATGCACTTGCAGTGCATGTAACTACAGTGTGTAGTTGTGGATTGGGTTACAAATGTTAAAATAAGTTCAAATGTAAAAAAAGTTATTTTAAATTGTAATAATACTTCATAGTATTACTGTTTTCACAGAAATAAATCCAAATTGTTCCAAAGTTTTGAGTTGTTTAGTATATTAAAATGACATCTGACCTGAGATGTAGATAAATAGAACTGGACGGATGGACGGACAGACAGACAGACAGATAAATAGACAGACAGACAGACGAAGGGACAGACCGACAGACAGACGGACAGATAGACGGATGGATGAATGGATGGATAAACAACACAATAGAAAGACAGGTAGAACGGTAGATAGAACACTAGATAGAATGACAGATAGAAAAATAGAACAGTATAAAAAATGATAGAACGATAAAACAACAGATAGAAAGAACGATAGAACAATTGATAGAATGACTGATTGACAAACAGATTAATAGACAGAATGATAGATCGATAGATGACAGATAAGAAAACAGATGAGATAACATAAGATATCAGCATTAGCTTAGATATAGATGAATAGAGCCATAGAACAATAGACAGACAGACAGACAGACAAACAGATAGACAAAGAGACGGACGGACGGACAGACAGACGGATGGATGGAGATGAGACAGACAGACAGACAGGATAGATAGACAGACAGACAGACAGACAGACAGACAGACAGACAGACAGACAGACAGACAGACAGACAGACAGACAGACAGATAGATAGATAGATAGATAGATAGATAGATAGATAGATAGATAGATAGATAGATAGATAGATAGATAGATAGATAGATAGATAGATAGATAGATAGATAGATCAAAAAAGCAACCTATGCCCTGAAACGTAAGTGAAAAAAAAACTAAATTAGAGGTCTTTATAATTACACACAAAGACAGTCCAGCTATAGGAGGGTGCTAAAATTCACCAGGGCTGAGCACCCCCGCAAACGGGGGTGTTGCTAAATTAACAAATAATCAGTCATCTTTGGAACAAAAAGCCTCACCGCTAAATAGTAGTGATGACTTTTCTTACTTAGTTTTTGTCTTTCTAGTTCAAATATCTACAAATTCTTTAAAAGCAAAAAAAAAAAAAAACAAAGCAAAAACTATTTTCTTGTTTTCAGAAATAATGTCAAAATGAAGTAAGTTTCTCTCTAAAACAAATTAAATAATCTGCCAATGGAGCATGCAAATATACTTATTACAAAGCAAATACAATATTAATCTGCTTACTCTGTGGGCAGAACATTTTGCTTGTTTTAAGGAATATATTTAATTTTGACTTATTATTTCTGGAAACAATACAGTATTTTTTGTTTGTCTAGAAAATGCTTCTTGATTTAAGATTTTTTAGACATTTGGACTAGAAACGAGACAAAAACTGTAATTAAGAAAAGCAGTGTAAAAAGCTCTGGTTTGTTTAAGAAGAGCCACGTCAGTTTCCCAGAACAGCAAAGACGTCAAACAAAAGCACCCAGACACAATTTATGAGTCAGGGTGTTTAAATAGGGGCCATTCATTGAGGCCCGAAATGACAGAGGGCTTGTTTTGATGCAGACTAGAACAGAATGAGTGGGAATCCAGACAGAAGCACTGGGAAGAGTTAACATAATCGGTTTTGCAGTTAACTCTTTTACTGTATCATCATTATATATAATGCAAGTTGACCATATTCCAGATTACTTTTGCTCAGAGCTTTGTTTTATAATAAGGCTGGGCAATATTACAAAAATATCATATCACAATATAAGTCATCTCATATCTTGATAATGATATAAAACAATATAGCACTATTTCTGTAAATTCAATCAATTAATTTGGATGCATGGATGGATGGATGGATGGATAGATGGATAGATGGATGGATGCATGGATGGATGGATGGATGCATGGATGGATGCATGGATGGATGCATGGATGGATGCATGGATGGATGGATGGATGGATGGATGATGCATGGATGGATGATGCATGGATGGATGATGCATGGATGGATGATGCATGGATGGATGCATGGATGGATGCATGGATGGAAGGATGCATGGATGGATGGATGGATGGATGGATGCATGGATGGATAGAATCTAACATACACAACAGAAAAGATATAAGCATCAGCTGAGCCAATTCAAGTATGAAATATTAGCAAAAGTGCAATATTGTGCATCATGAAATTATTTTTAAAAAATCCTTTTTTTAAGTATTTGAAAAGATATTTCACCTCACAATTTACTCAAGTTGTTAAAACTTTGAGTTTTTATAGAAGACAAACATGTTTGCAATGAGGGAGAATAAATTATGGCAAAACTTTTATGTTTGGATGATTTCTTTAAGTTCATTACAACTCATTTGGTTGATTTTCTGGAATACATGCCTATTTAAATAAGCATACTGTGACATTCTCTACTGTGAAATACAATTTCTCAAATAGTAAAATAAAAGGCTCTATTTCAACAATCGCAAAGTCTAAAGCCCATGGCGCAATAGCATTAAAGGCGTGTCCGAATTCACTTTTGCTATTTTAAAGATGAAAAAATATAGTCTAAGAGGGTTGTGCTTATTCTCTTAATGAGTTCTGGGTGTGTTTTGAGCATAACGTTCATTAAACCAATCAGAGTCTCATCTCACATTCCCTTTTAGAGTTAGTTGCGTAATGGCGCAATGGTGCATTTACTATTTACATGGCGAACTTTGTATGCGAAAAAAACAAACGGTTCACTAGTGAGAAAACCATTAAACAGAGCATCTGCAGCACGAGGATAAAGAACGAGCCTCCAACATTTAGCTTTTTTACTTTCTCTTTACTTTTACTCCTTTACTTTTGGCATTTGCCAAAAAAATGGCTCTTTGCTGAAAAAAGGTTCCCGACCCCTGGTCTAAACTAACAGCAGCAATTCATTAAGTAACTAAATTGTGAAATATAATCTTTACCGTGAAATAAAATTACTCATATCATCAAACCCTCATGTGCTATTTTTTCTTTGCCAAATATTTCCCAAATAATGTTTAACAGAGCAAGAATTTTTCCACAGTATTTCCTTTTTTTTTTCTGGAGAAAATTTTTGGAAAAAAAATTTATTTAATATTTTTTTTAACAATTTAAGATCAATATTATTAGCCCCCTTAAACAATGTTTTTTTTTTTTGTTTTGTTTTTGATTGTCTACAGAACAAACCACTGTTATACAATGACTTGCCTAATTAACCTAGTGAAGCCTTTAAATGTCACTTTAAGCTGAATACTAGTATCTTGAAAAATATATAGTCAAATATTATGTGCTGTCATCATGACAAAGAT